CTTTTTTTTTAATTTTCCCCCCACTTTGTTGTGAGGAGTTCTTGTGTGTGTCATGAATGTAGTAGTTCTCCTACTACAGTTGTCTACTTTGCCCAAGCTTAATTGCACCCCCCTCCTCACACACACACGAGTCATTTCTTGGCCCCGGCTCTTCGAGCGCTCGTGCTTCTCAACTTCTCTTTCGCCCACGGACTGATGCCTGAGCAACACCTGCGTGAGAGCCTGGATTCTGCTGCTGCTGCTGCTGAGCTGAGGCGTTTTTTTCTATGCACATCGTACTATTCAATGGTTGTGCTTTTTTACTACTTTTACTGATTGGGACGTTTTTTTCGTCGTATTTTACTTGGTGAGCCACTTTCCGTTCATTTATGATATAGTTCTTAATTTTTCATTGTCGTGTATTTATTCATTTTAAGTAAATCAACGTTATGTTAGAGCAGTGTTAACTTTATTTTTTTTGTAAAAGAGTTTTTATCATCTAGTTGAAACAACAATTTTTAATGATCGAAAGATACAAATTTTGACTCATTCTTTTCACAAGACATTTGTAATTCTGCCAACGTTACTTACTTAAGACCTTTTTCAATGACCCTTGAACAAGCTAAGCAGAGTAGTAAACAGGTTCTTTGATGGAAATTTGTTCCAAATGTACCAAATATAAAGTTAATTTTGTAACTTTAACACCTTTTTATGTTGATACTACGAAGACTTCATCCTACTCCGTGCTTCGCTTGCCAACTTCTCCACTACTTTAATATAAAATAAGTGTCTTAACATAATAAAAGTGCTTTAATATACCTAACAGTAATGTAAAATTTTGTTTTTTTGTGTTACAATATATTTAATAAGCATATTTTGATCTAATTTTTCTTTTTTTCGTTTTTTACAATAAATACAATGCTAAAAAATTTTTTATATATTTTATTGATAACGACAATTTTTAAACACAAAGAAATATCTTTATTTATGACTGTTTTGGGTAAAATAAATGTATATTTTTTTATTAATTTAAAAAATCAGATAACGAAAATTTAGTTTTCATACTGCATTATCTATTCTCAAATGATTTTTGAAATGTAATCGTATTAGTCTACAAGCTTGGA